CTTCGAACTCTGAACTCAGCGCCATTTTGGTCGCGCCTCCGCTTCCGGCCGCCCGCTCGAGGCCCGCTCGCCTTACCGATCGAGCGATCTCCGAACCCTCGATCGAGCCCGATCGTTCATCGGGAACATGTTCGAAAGTTCGCGCGCCCATTCGTCCATCCGATCGATCCTCGAGTTGTCGTCGGCCAGTCTATGCTTTGATCCATCCCTCCTCGTCCTCTCGGCTGAGGAGAAGTGTCGATTATGATTATATTCCGGGGAGAGATTTGATCAGATATTTTTCTTTCTTTTTTTTTTTTTTTGGAAGGATTTTAATTGGGAATTTGATCGATTTGGGATATGAGAGTTTGTTGAGTTTACGTACAGTGAACGAAGAGTGTGTGCTTCTTGGAAGGATTCTCTTTTGGATTTCGAAAGAATCGTTGGAACGAAGAGTTGATGGAAGATTTAACGCTTGTGATCGATATTGGATGAAGTTGAAGATACGAGAATTGAATGTGGTCTAAATTAGGATCTTGGAGGAGAGATACCTCTGTGCGGTGACATTCAGCGTTTCAAAATACAATTACGAAACCTGTAAACGAAGCATCCGTTTCAAAGACAATAATTAAACAAACCCAAAATTGCTCGATTACCAAGCTAGGGAAGTTCTGGGAAGATCCCGTCCAACATGGACATCTAGTAGAAGTCGAATGGCCAAGTTTGGACGCCTCGAGCGAGCCGTTTCCAGACCAGAGAGCCAGAGCTCGAGAGCGTAATTCGAACGGCTATTGACTAACTTGTCGTTTCGCGGCAACCGTGTCAACCGTGATACTCGTCCACCGGGCTCAGCTCGACCGTAAACAAATTGCTCGCGGCCCTTCGAACGCGTAACAATCCGTTCCCTCGACTCGAGGGAACAAATCCTCCAACGTTTGGACCTTTGAAACTCGCCTCGAAGTCGTGGGCAATCGTGGAAAGTATCAACAGGTTTCCTGATCTCGATAGGGAGCTCTTCATCCTCCGGTTATCTCCGCAGGAAGTCGGCGCGGGGAGAAGCTCGATCGCCTCCTCCAGGCCGTCCAATCTCTGGCGAGGAGAACGAGGCTTGGTTAGGGGAAGGATTAGATTGGCAAGTTGCCGGATGAGACAGTGGTTACCGAAGTGTGTGTGTGTGTGTGTGTGGCTAGGAAATTTTGGTGGTGTGATGAGACACGTGCTGTGACATGTTCGATCGTTGATTGAAGTTTGCCGGTGGATCTGTCCCAGGATGTACAAAGTGATTCGGACTCGAGATTAGAAGTTAAACTGGGGAAACTGGTTGTAATTTGAGGAGCAGCGAAACTGAACTTCATTTAGAGATAATTTTCTACGATCTGGATTTTATTTTATTTGGAGGTGTTTTTATTTGGAGCAGAGTTTTGTTTTTGGATTGAAGAGTGAATGACTGATATTATTCTATTGGATGTTGTTTTTTAAGGATTAAGAAATTACAAGTGTTATGAAATGATTCTTCTTTGTATCGAGGATACGAAGCAATCGGTTGATTAGAGAAGAAAAATTAGGTTAGCGAGGGAATCGACATAACTGGTGAGAAAACCGGTTTGAAAACTGTGGTATTGAGAATCGTCGCGTAAAATCGTTGAATAAATCATTCGGCTCGGATTGTTCGTAGCAGAAGCAATCGAAACCTGATAATAAGCCTGTATTGACATTTTCGAAGATAAGGAATAATTTATCGTCATAGCCGATAAAGGTTGATTTGTGGGAAAATATAATAACAATTGGATATTAAATTTTGAAAATTGAATCGAAATAAAGGAAAATTGTTGCCTTCTTAAGAATGAGGTTTCTTTTTTCTTAAGAATGAAAGATTCATTTAAATACAGATATTGTGGTACGAGAAGTGGATCCATCTATCGAATACATTATCGACATTTTTCGATGTAAATAAAATTCCAATCGCAACATTGCAAGCTTGAGAATATTTCTTTTATGGAATGTTGATCGAAAAATCCCGAGTGTTAATCGAGGAAGATTCGTAAAGTGTGATAGAAACCAGTGAAATATCGCTCGAAGGAGTTAAATCGCAATCACGAATCTTCCACTTCAATCGCGCCTAACGAACTCGAACAACTTCTGGAATTAAGGGGTGCAACATCGTTGAAGATTAACTGGAAGGCCATGAATTTATTGTTCCAAATGAATACCGAGAGCTTTCTCGTAATTTAAAGGATTCGAGATTATTAAAGATATTGAAAGAGGAGTTTAAAAAACTTCGTAAAGTATATTCTGACCGTGATTACGACTAATTTAAGGATTAATCTACGTTTTCTTTCAACGAGTGTTAATCCGGTTAATACAGAAATATTGCGAATATTTTATAATATTTTTGCTCTTCGAGTAAAGAATACTCCTCTTTGTTAAATATTCTTCAAAACTCTCGAGAATTCTCGCAGAAATCGTACAGAAGCGAATTAAAGAATAAGATACGCAAAATTTGCGAACGAAAAATCAACTCAAACTCAAACACTGTAATAATTTCACGCAATAACCCAACCCCAAGATAATAACCATTCCAAGAAAACTTATAAAAATTCTACTAAAAAACATTCGCAAAAGTAGGTCCAAAGAAAATTCTCAGAACTCTCTGTAGAAGCTCTATAACAAGAAGAAAGCTTATAGCGCATTACACCACTTACCTACTAAGCATACCAAGAAAAAGTTGCCCAACAAACGTTCCAAACGAAACGTTTTTCATCCAAATCATTGCGACGTAGAGTTAAAAGTGAAACGACTCGTCCAAAGCCAATCCTCTGACCCTGCAACCGACCGAGAACTTTCGTCGATTGTCTCTCCAAAGATCTGCCGGTCGCGTGATTCATCGAGGTCACCGGTTGAGCGGGTCAGGGCCGCGAGTTGTGTGGCTTCAGGTCGGTGCAACCTGGATTTCTGCACGATTTAACGCGGTCGCTGTCTTCTTTTAGTTTTGCACAACCGCGCAGCCATTCTTGCAGCCATTATCTGTGCAACATCGGGACGATAAAATTCTATTCTTGCACCGATAAGAGGCACGCGGATTCTGCTGATTAATCGCGCGTCGACCGATTTTAGCCTCGTTTCTCTTGAGTGGATCGAGTGAAGTGTCCATCGAGCTTCTTAAACCTGAAAAGTGCGAAACACTTTCCCATTCTTCCGATGGGAAGTGGACTGTGAAGTGATTTGGTGGAATTGGTGGAAGAAGTGGTGAACGAAGAGTTGGGATCAGGGAAATTGGACAGTGGTGAGTATTTAAATTTGGATAAATTTTTAGGGATTTTTTTAGGATGATGGAGGTTAAGGTTATTGGAAGAATGAGATAAGAATTTTTATAAATTTATGAAGTAGAATTGGTAGACGATGGTGAAAGTGGAGAAAAGTTGAGATCAGGGAAAGTGAAGAGAATTGGTAAATAGGGTATTGATGATTTTTAGGGTAGTGGAAAAATTTAGATTGATATGATATAAATGAAAATATTGTGTGATATAGCAAATTTTAAGGTAAATAGTATTTGTTAAGTAAAGAAAAAAATTTGTAAAAAAATATTGGTTGAGAAATTATTTTCCAAGTTACAAACAATTATTTGTTTAAACGTGAGTGATTTACCGACTTAATGAGTAATTCTTTGATAAAGAGGTGTCAAGTATGATGTGTAAAAAATGAAGGATATGAAAACTTTTTGCAAGTAACAAAAAGAAATGATAAATGATATTTTTTGTTTTTACGTATTTGCTTTAATCGAAACAAAAAATTGTTTAACTTTGAAGATATTGAAGTTAAAAA